TATTGTAAATCTTTCTTCTTCTCCATATGGTCAGACAGGTAATAAATTATTCAGTTTCAGCCTTAATTGCTTATTTTCGGGTAGATCATGGAATTCCAGCACATTTCTACTTCATATTTTCGGGTATTGAATTTTCAGTTTCTATGATCATGGAATACCAGCAGACAGAAATGGGTACAAAGGGTGGATTAATTGCTAACATTCTTAATTTCACTTAAACTTAACAGAGAACATGGAATTCTGTTAACAAACACAAGAAATTCTGTTAAACACAACAAATTCTGTTAATCTCTGTTACATAGGCACTTTATAATATAGAGAGAGATTAACGACTGATTCAATAAGAATTTAATGAAAATGAATAATAGTAGATGAATTTATAGTGATATATTTTTATTTAATGTTTTATATATCTATTTAAGTAATTTATATAAGATTAAAATTATAATAAAATTTTCATTTTAATTATATATATATAAACAATGTAAATAGCGGTTTACAAATTATTTGAGTACTATCAACGAATTTCGCCCTATCTCACTTTCTTTATCTCTCGACTTTCCCCTGAATTTTGCAGACCACAGAGCAGGCTCCAAACAAAAACCAAAACCACAATCTCGAACCCGAATCTGTGCCAGTACACCTCTTCCACCCTGAACCCTCTACCTGCTATCCGCCGTCGCCGATTTCTTTGTGAGTTGAGCGAATGATATCTTTATAATTATTTTTTTTCTTCCTGCAAATTTATTGTTTGCTGCAATTTCAATAAGTAATTACGTATGAATGATGAATCTTTACAGTGTTTAATGGTTGTTCTCTCTAATCCTTAATTACACCTTACTCATCTAAATTTAGGTTAAAGGATAATCTTTTATTATTATTCTTATTGGAGGATGTCTCTCTATTTCTGTTTTGGAGTTGATTGAATCAGGATTTGGGATATTACCCAGTAATTTTGGCCAATGAAGAGAGGAAAATAGGTTAAATTTTCCTTTTCTATTTTTTTTCTGAAAAAAGAAAAAAAAAAGAACAGTTTTTGGGCAAAAGCACTGAACCAGGCTGGAATAGTTCTAATGGCATCTTGTTTGATTTTATTACATTTCTTCCCATTCAACTAAATCAAGTTTTCGAAATTCAAATTTTTACAATTTCACTATTGGTTTTATTTACCAGATTTTTATTATATGATGAAAGGAGTATTTATCCTTTCAAAAATTTAGAGTCTTTCTTTTTCTAACCTTTAGTTGGTAGGGAACTTGGAGTCAATTTAATTGTTAATTTTGTGCAATTTGGTTTTTTCTTTATTATTTTCATTATGTCGTATTGAACATATAAATGAAAATGACTATTGCATTGTTTAATTGATTTTAGTTTCTGCTTTTTTATGTGGTTGAAGGCTCATTTTCAAGCTTTCGTCTGTTTAGTTGTTTTGGACATGAACACGTTGGTTGTTTCTTTTCCAAATCAAGAAGAGGTGTCTATATCAAGTTATTCACTGCCAGTCTGCCACGTCCTCTCCATTATTGCCACTGATTTCAGTTGTTGAATAATGCTTTCAATTTGTGTATTGTTTATACAGTATGTATAGTCGAGTACTGAATGTTCGTTGGAAACATTCGTGTATTGTACTTTAAAAAAATATGAGAAAAGTGAAAGTATTAACTATTAAGTATGGTACCAAACTGAGCAAGAACTGGACGGTTACAGTACAGTTCTGTAAGGTCTGCCAAAGTTCTGTTAGGTCTTGTTGGAATTTAGTTTTTAGTTTTTTTTCTTTATTATTGTCATTATCTAGGGCATGAACATGTAAATTAAAAGGATATTGAATTTTGTAGTTGTTTGTTGTTTTTCATGTGTTTGAAGACTCATCTATTACACAATTCATCTGGTTAGCTATTGAGGACATGAACATGTTAATTGTTGCTTGTCCAAATCAACAAGATGTACTCATTCGCTCTTTAACTTGGAATTCTTCTGAGAATTTCCTCTAAACCATTGGTGTTCAAGTATTAAATTGGGCCCAATGGGAATTAGTGGTTCACCTGATCTATTTTGGCTAGTTCAATGGATGGGTAGGTTTCACCCATAATTCAACTGAACCAACCCATCCAATGGACAAAACCAGTCTGCAGTGACAGGCCATAGGTTAAACAGGCTGTTTTTTTTATATTCCATCAATTCATTCATCTGAGAAGATCCAGAGAAAGTAGCTCTGAATTAATTCAACTTGGGATAAAGAGTATAAAATAAAAAAACAGATGCTCAATGGAAGAGAAGAAAAATAACAAAAAGTCCAGTGTCAATCGTGACATTTTTTGTGAATTATTATTCTTATTGATTTTGTTTACTTGTATTTTACTATGCAGATGGAAGGCCATATAGCTGCTGATCTCTATGGAGAGGCCCTACAGCAATCAAGTATTCAATCTTGTCCAACATCAGCTGCTGATTATGCATTAAATGATGCACAAGGTACGAGTTTCAGTATTAGCCAATTTTTATAAACTAATAAATCCTGAGGGAATGCTCCCAACTGCATTCTTTGCAAATATATCTGATGCCACGTGGAAAGTCTATTGTAGGCATTGGAAAAATTAAATCAATTGGGTTTATGTTATTTTCCTTATTTTTTATTGTGAGTTTTTAAGACAAATTATTTTGTTTCTTTGTAGAGGAAACCACCCGAGTTTTCCTTATCTATTCTAGTTTAGACTCTATATAAAGAGGCTCTTTCAATGGACACCTTTTATAATTGAATAAAATTACAAGTCTTCCTCCAGTCTCTTTCTTCTCTCTCGACCTCCTTTGCTTTTTCTTAATTTACTCGTGAATTCCAGTTGCGTTCGTCGTCAATGTCTTAATTGAACCCTTAATTGTAATTTAATGTAAATATTAGAAAAAAAAAAATTCTTTAATTGTACTATAGAAAATAACACGTGATAGGCACTGTGAAGGTCTTAGTGCCTGAAGAATCATTACCACATGTTTTTGACTGTTCAGAGCAAATGACCTGATCGATAAATTAGTGACTAACTTCATAACCAATCTTGTGGTCATTGACTACATAATATAAATAGGTGTAACAATCTCCAAAGTTGCACCTTCCACCAGGAATCCAGGTTGAGACCTTCTGGCGGCCTCCTGTTATGAACAACCTCGCCTCTTGCCTTAGCCTGCTGTCTCTTTGAAAGCTACTGGAAAAAGATAAAAAGAACTATTATTAGAGTCTATTCTTGCAGCCTAAGTTGTGACGTAATGGGTTATGCTCCACTGAGCAAAGGTCATTATTACAGTATTAAGTCTTGCTGAAGTAAGAATGTCCTAGCATGCAAATATGCTTATAGTGATAATTGCTTATGCTGTATAAGTTTCTCTTCTGGAGAAATTCCCGTTTGTCTCTCTCTTCCTATAGACGTGCTCGTACTGTCTTGTTATATTACTGAGCACATATTTTCATATGATCTATTGACCAGCAACTGCTGGTTATTTTCAGGTGCAAACTTATATACAACTGGATAATTCATTAGATAATGTTGTCCATTTCCAGTTTCAAGCACGGATTGGTTTTCTTCATCTTTTTGGTTCTATTTTGTTACAACTGTAGGTTGACTGAGATCTCTAGAGTCACGACTTTTCCTATTAAGACCCTTTGTTATTTTATTGTTTTATGGTGGAAACACATTTGAATATTCCTTGCCTGGGCAGTAAGTTTGGTACTGTGCTTCGCGGTGTGCATGAGTATCTAACTCTTACTCAATTTGCAACCACAGATAATGGTTCTGATGACTGGTGCAACGAGGACGGAGATTCTTGTGAATGGGAGTCAGAGAGAATACGCAACCAATTTGTCACAGTATTCTTACAACTTTGATCTGATTTTTGTTCTTTAAAAAGTAGAAAGAAACAATCAAACAATGCTGTTTGTAAATTTGTGTCCCAAGTAAATATTTATTTAGCCATACAATTAGTCATTTCTGTGAAATATTTCTTCAGGTTGGATACCGTGAAGGTCTCATGGCAGGACAGGAAGCTTCAGCGCAGGATGGCTTCAATATTGGCTTTAAACAATCGGTATCAGCTGGATACAATTTGGGTATTGTCAGAGGAGTCACTGGGTAAATGAGTAAAATAGTCGGGAAAACATTTATAATAATCTTTCCTACCGTTTATAATATTTAACATTTAATCATTTGTTTTCTTCGAAGTGCTCTGAATTGCCTCCCCGATGATTTGAAGGAAAGATTAGCCGAAACAGCACAAAAGAGAAACAAGTTGAAGCAGTTACATAAATCTGTGCATTCTCTTTCGACATCAGACGCACTGAAGCTGTTCCATAAAGAGCAGACGAGAACTTCATCAGTACACAAAGAGAATCCGAAACCCGACTGCACCCAAATTTCAGATGAAGGCGTTCTCGAAAATTATTATAAAGAGCTTCAATCAATAATTAAAGACACTCCTGCAATTGAAGCGTGCTTAGATATGATGAAGCAGTGATATTTATTTTTAAGCATCTTTTGCAAAACTTTAATTAGATTATAAGTGATGGGTCTTACGAAATGTGTAGATAATAAGCGGGTAAAAGTTGTGAAGGGTAAAAATAGAGTTTGACCAATTTTTAAGCAATTAAAAGTTTTACAAAACATGCATGACTTTGATTGTCACGCATTCGTGCTATATGTTAATGTTGGATATTGATGCCACTATGTTAAGCTACGTTTTATTTGCGTGAACTCTCAGGATATCTGGTAGAGAGCTTGGGCAGGGAGGTCCAATTTCACCGGCTCTTTTTGTTAATGCAGCAAAATTTCTGGTGTGTGGAACGAATGCTCTATCCATCGTAGGCGTATACTCTAATTTAATCCTTCTAGGTAGTTCCTAATTTTTAAATCTTGTGAATCTCATAAATGATTTTTACACGAAGTGTAAATCGAAACATCACGAACCTCTTAAGAGTCGTAGACCTCAACTTCCAAAACACAACTTTTAACTGAGCAGTATCGTTTATATGAGCAGTATCGTTTATATGAACATCGTAACTAAAAAGTATGGGTGGATTCTTGTACTTGAATTCTGGAGGGTTGTTGCATAGGCTTTGAGCTCGATGTTATGGTAGTTGAAGCACGAAAGCGCAAGATGGAAAGTGAATAATTTGTCCCGACCTTTCGGTTAAAGCTACTGAAGAATGAACCTAAACATTATAAGTTTATTGTCTTGAGCTCGACGTTCTATTTGAGGAAAATGAATAAAATGTCTTTGGGGCAATATTTCGTCATATTTACTTAACACAAATGTCAGGCACGATATATTTTTATCTGTCACTTTCTCGCATCATTGAATAAGAACTTTAAAGTCGATAGAGTGTTCGATAGTCCATGCATTTGGGAGTTTTTATGAAGTCTAGATGGGGATAATATCAAATATTGTGATGCTAAACTATGGGGTTAAAATCAGTGCTGCACTCAACCAATGGGTACGCCCTATTTTTGTCATTGTTGTTTTTGTTCTTGAAAAATTGGCGCTAAGCTTTTATTTAAGTTTTAGGTTAGTCTCCTCACTCAATTTCGTCGACACCACCGTGTTGATTTCAAAGTATACGCTAACAAAATCTCGACTACCTCCCCTCCATGTAGGCATCATCTGGACACTGAAACAACCCATTAGGAGGAAAAGACCACGAGTTGATTGTGAAGTTTTAACACATACATATACATAAATGAATGCGTCAAGAAGGTTTAGTGAAATAAGGCCAACTTTAAGCCCAAGATGTAATTGTTTAATTAAACAAGCCCAATCAATTGAATAGTTGATGCCATGTCAGCATATATTGGATCCTCATTCGAAGTGGACATCCTTGTAGGAGGCAGCGTACATCGTCGAAGGTTTCCTCCATCGTGAATTGTTCATCCTTGGAAAGCGTCATCTTTGAAGGAATAAGAGGTGACCTTCCCCGTGGGGGATTTTTAGCACATCGCTCTTTGATAAATGTGTTTTTGCACACTTATTTTATGCTTAAATGACCTTGAATATTGATTAAATGAACAAATTTTTACTCACAATTATATAATTATTGTTTTTTAGGTAAAAATCATCCAACGAAATAGAATAAGGCAAAAAGAAAGAGAAAATGACTGAAATCGTGCAAAATTGTGAATTTGGGGACCAAAATGAAACAAATGGTAGAAAGTTGGAAGACTCAGTATGCAATTATGGAGGGAAAAATTGACATAAAAGTCAAAATATGAGGACTAAATTGTACAATATCAAAGTTCAGGGACTTGAGGTGCAATATTTGGGGACTTCGGCTGCAAAGTAAACCAAATGTTTGGTTTTTTAATAGAGAAGCGACGCCCAAGTGCCACTTTTTAAAAAATATGGGACTGTTTTAATTATTTTGTGTAATATTAGGGACCTCTTTGTAACTTCTGAATAAGGTTTAAATATAAAACGGGGTCTTCTGCCCGTTTCTTCCAATCTTCTTTTCAGTTTTTTTCTTTCTTTCTTTTTTCTTTTCTTTTATTTCTCTTTCTTTTTTCTTCTTTTTCTTTCCATTTTTCCTTGGTATTTTGGGATGCAATCTTTAGCACAAGGAGAGTACATCTAAAGATTTGAAAAAATATTTGGAAAAGTCGAAGCCAAGCTTAAAAAATGGATTTTATCTATAGGGTTTAATGTACCGAAGGGGGGGGGGGTGATCGAATGGTGGCCCCCCCCCTCACCCCTCCCTCACAAATGCAGCGGGCCCATGTTTTAAAAAAAATGTGGCTCGTGGTCCCCACTTCCAAATGTGAGTGGGGTGTAAAAGATTAGGTAAAAAATTATGTACATGTAGCATAACCTCAGAAGAATTTACTTGAACTGCATAACGATTATGTAGCCCAATAATATGGCTGCTCATTTGACTATTTTACATCTTGGAGGAGCAGTTCCCCTGTTTGACAATCATAAAAACAAAAACCTTTTTTTTCTTAAACTCATTTTCACCCACATATTCTCAGAATAAAATATTTTGTGAACTCAAAAAAAATTGAAGGGAGAATTTGGGCTAGTGTGTATTGTCAACTTTGTGGGGGGTATTTGGGCGGAAATCCACTTCCAAATGTGAGTGGGGTGTAAAAGATTATGTAAAAAAGTATGTACATGTAGTATAACTCTTATCTATAATTTTGTATTTTATCAATTATTTTGTCATATTTGTAATTTATTGTATAAAATATTCTCCTTTTTATCACTTATATAACATGAGCCAAATATTTTCGTATGGATTTATGGTTGAAGTTAACATAACTTTAATTTATTTTAATATTTGTCTTTTAATGTTAAAATGCTTATTGTTATGTGTATTTATTATTGTGTTGATTGCCTTTAATTTATTTGCCCATTAAATGATTGAATTTAGTAATTTTTACACGGTTCAAGACAAAATTGCACATTTTAGACCAAATATTAAATACCCTATGATTGGTTTTAATCGACATAAATATATAGTAGGTTAAACAAAACAATTATGGTTAATTTTGCCTGAGAGAGTTAATTAACTAAAATTGAAAAATAAAGTCTAATATCGTAAATGAGTAATTTGTTAATTGGCTCATGATGAAATTAATTAGGCAACGATTAAGCGAAATCATGAATCTCAGCCATGTTTTTGTCCAAAATTTCCAAAATTTTTATGTTTTATTATTTTCTTATAGTTCTCAGTTTTTTTTTCTCATTCTCAAAATCATAATTTTAACTGTTTGTGTTTCTTTTTATTGTTAGAATTAAATTAATCAAAGTTATGTAATTGAAAGTAAATATTTCTCGAGGAATGACAACTCGGACTCAAAAGATTCACTTGATTATTTGAACACGATCTGTGTACTTGCGGTTTGTACTTTCATAGTGAACACTGTTTGAAGTGGACATCCTTGCAAGAGGCTGTAGCTCTTCGTCAAGGGCTTCCTCTATGATAAATAGTTCACACATGAAGAGCATCATTTTCGAAGGAATCAAAGGTGACCCACCTGATGGGAGTGTTTAGCACATCGTCGTTCGAAGTTGAATCCTTATAAGAGGCTGACGCACCTCGTCAATGGCTCTGCCATCATATAAACTCACGTACTTAACCATTTCAAGGTAATGTTATCATATACTTTAAACATACACTTAGCTCCACGATTCATATGCTCCCACCTTGTTCCTTATATCACCGTCAATTGACTTGACCATCAAAGTGTTTGTGGTCGACTCCCTACTATCGGAGAAGGTAGTAGGGATGTATTCAGTATGCAAGGACTTATTTGCATGGAGTTGCTACCCGTTGACCACATCGTCCCGACAAAAAAAAAGGGTCAACTAACGGAATGTGGACATGGAGTTACAAATTAAATAATAAATTAAAATGTAGTATTAATTACACCAATGTTATGTATTAGTTCACATTAAAAAAAAAGATTAATATATGATTTTTTAACTATAGAGAATAATGTACATGAGCATGTAATTGCTAAATTCATGGATACTTTCATTGTGTGAATAGGCTGAGTTTACTTCATTGTGTTATTTCTACTGTTTGTTCTACTTTCCATTATTTTTATTGCATTATAAATGTTGATCCTGAAAATCGTGATGCTAACCCCACTTTAAGCCAATCCAGGCAAATTTTGAAGCATTTTCCGGAGTATCAGAAGGAAGTGAAGAAAACGTGAACACAGGAGATGCTTCACGACGTGAGATAGAAGGGTTCGAGCACCGACGGGTGAAACAAAGATGATTGCGCTAACAAAAATCACTAATCAAATGCCTATGATTATCCGTTGTGAGTATGATTTTTGTGTTTATTACAGAGTTTTCGACTATGATTCATATATTCTTTTGATGTTATATGTGGATGACTTGCTAATTGCCTCTAAGAACATGGATGGGGTAGACACATTGAAGTCTTTGTTGAGCAGAAAGTTTGATACGAAAGACTTGGGATCGACTAAGAAGATTTTCAGCATGGAGATAAACAGAGATAGGTAGGCTAAAAAATTACAGGTTTTTCAGAAGAATTATTTGAAGAAAGTTTTGGAAAGATTTAGCATGTCTGATGCAAAACTAATGGGTACATGGTTGGCTAATCACTTTAAATTGTCTACTAATAGTGCCCAAAGAATGAAAAAGAAATTGCAGAGATGTCAAAGGTGCCCTATGTCATTATAGTGGGGTGTTTAATATATGTAATGGTGTGTACCAGACCAGATCTAGCACATGTAGTCAGTGGAGTGAGTAAGTACATGTCTAATCCCGGCAAAGAGCATAGGAGAACTGTAAAGTGGATCCACAGGTGCTTGAGAGGTACAATGGAGTGTGTGATCATGTTTGAAAGATAACATGATGATGTTTTAGTTTAGTGATAAGTAGATGCAGATTATGCAGGCGACTGGACGATAGGAGGTTTCATACATGTTATGTTTTCACATTTGTATGGGCGGCCTATATGTTGGAAATCAATGATGCAGTCACTTGTAGCA